CCCTTTTCTTCTTTTCTTTCTTCATCACATTTCTTTATTTCTTTCTTTTCTACTTTTCTTTTGATATCTTTGTGTATTTTATTTTTCTCTGAAACTTAATAAAATTCTTATTAAAAAGACAAACATATAATCTAAAAATCTATTAAAACTTCTTTTTTATTGTTAAGTTAAACATAAGAAAATAAGAAAATAGATAGATGGTAGATAGATGTGAGAAACCTTTCCACCTAACCTACAGTAGTTAACCATACATCTGCACTAAAACAGGAGAACCGGAAGGGGCATTCCTTAGGCCAAAGGTGCCTCCTGTTCGTTCCACTGAGAAAACAGTATGATTGACTGTGGATATTTTTCAGCAGTTGTACTGGAAATGCATTTCCAGCACATTTAATTGATTGGGGTTTCAAATCAATTCAGCAATCTTGTGCTACATGTGCTACAATTTTGCTGTTTACTAACAAGATAATAAACAATGGAAAGAAAGAAGGAACTAAATAGGTTTCTCTATATGAGTTCCTTCCCTATAAAGAACTTAACATGAAGGAGAAGAGGGCTGTAAAGCTATAAGGACTTTAGACAAAACCCATTCCACAGTGTGTGCAATTGAGGAAGAACCTCAAGAATGCTGCAGCTTCTTGGTGTACTTTCAATTTGACGCCACGGCCTTTTTGATAACACGAAGATGTTGCCTTTGTGATGCTGAAGTGCCCTAATATGGAAGCTTGCTAAAATGGATACTTCTTGTCTAAAGATATGTACAGAAATATATACACATAAACACACCTATGATCACAGCACATGGAGACATCTTTGGCTGATCTCCAGAAGAGCAGACATCAGGGTTTTTGCTTTCTGCCTGAACTAAAATAACTCTTCTCCAAGCAGGAATCTCATGGAATCTTTTGCACAAGATTTATTGAGAAGAAAGGGATTCTAGCAACAGAATATTTCCCATCTAAAATTCAGTGTATCCCAAACAACATTAGGGTGGAATCTTCTCCTTAACTGCCTTTTGGCGAACCAGCATCATGTTTCTTCACTAAGAGCACAGAGCTTGCAACCGTTTGCTTCCTAAGGCTTTTTCATCTGAGAATTAAGGATTGGACCTGGCTAGTACTTGAAGACTACAGGAAATTGCAGGGCTGTAGGATAGGCCAGGAAGCTGAAAAAACTTCTGAAAAGAAGACAGTGGCAAATCACTTTCAGAGCATTGCTAAGAAATCTACACAAATGTGCTGAAGGCAAGCCATTCTTTTAACTCTTTTGATGTACAAAACTCACCAATTTGGGAATGAAATGTCCCATCCAGTCTGGAGGATTTACTTCCAGAAACCACCAAAATGCTCCCAAAATAGCATGATC